ATCCCGCTTCAGGTCCGGACCTGAAGCGGGATAAACCCCAGTATAAAAGCGGCATAAGGATGATTGATATTTATTTATACTCAACCCAATCATACATTGGTTAGGTGTCAGAACTATTAGATAGTGCTGACACCTACTGTTCTTGTACTAGCAGTAATTTGTATTTCTAAACTTGAAAGATTATATTTTGTTCGTATATTGTAATGTAATTTGTATTCTGTGACAATCGTTTGCGTTTCCTGTTGGTGTCTAGAATAAAGGCATTACAATGAATATGATTGTGTTGAGTGATAATATAGGTTTTGTAAAAACTTGTTGTACGTACGTAATTGTGTACATTTCAATTTATTAGGCCACGGGAGCGATTTTCTCTCGGGCGATCGCTGCCGTTATTGTTTTTACCAGAGCGATTTTAGAGCTTACCAGAGCGAAATCGCTCGTCGCTCCCGTGTATTTTTTTCCCTGAGTCGCACACACACACGCTCACAAACACAACCTATAACATGGCTTATCACACAGAATATCTGACTTCATTCGTTCCTTGGAACGCGTTCCCCGTAACGATAACACCCCACCAGGTGGCGTTCCGCGTCGGTGACACAACACCAGGTGGCGCTCCATGACCGCAACACCCTGCCAGGTGGCGCCTCGTGAGCCGCAGCATTGCGAGCAAGACACCGAAACTGCCCAGTCCGCCTCTGCATCGCATGACGACACGGTCGCCGTGGCAATGCCACATCGCAGGCCGGCGAGCGGGCGTTGCCCTCCGGTGAGTGGGTGTGGCGGCACGTGCCGACCTCTCCTGGAGAGATGTGCTACGAGCGATCGATGGACGCGACGTCCGCGACGGTCGCCTTATCTCCTGGAAAACATCGTAGAAACTTTGATCGTCGACGAACGTTCTTGTTCAGCCCCGAAAAAGTGACCGACCGTGAAGTTTAATCTCGCGTCGTATCGCGTTGCCTTTACCACGATTATTGGCTTAACTTTGATTTTGTTTTGGTAGACCTGCAGTCGACTGTCGCATATACACTCAATTGTTATTTATATGTGAACAAATGATAATAATTATTATAATAATGACAACGATAATGATAATGAGAATAATAATAATAATGATAACGATAATGATAATGAGAATAATAATAATAATAATAATGATAATGATAATGAGAATAATAATAATAAGATGAAGAAGAAGAATAGGAGTATGATAATAAGAGTATGTAATACGTTCGTTGTTTCGTTGTTTGTGTGTATATGTGCTGTGTATAGCTGTCTACACGAGGTGACAGACCCACCTACCTATTGGAGTCGTGACGAGAGTTCCACACGACAGCTTAGCAAGTATTTCATCCAATTCTTTTTCAAACTCGTCCGTCGAACCTACGCGGAGAAATGTAAGACACTTCACTTCCAGAATACCGCAAAAATACACAAACTTGAACTGGGCCGACGCCAACACGAAACTGACAGACAGGCTGGAGATTTTGCTGGAGATTTTGCTGGAGACGACATGCCACCCTACTTAACAGCCCTAATCCACAGAAGCACAGATCCCGCGCAGATTCGTGCGTTCCAATCAGTGTTACGATAGGATGCTCTAAACACAATCGTTACCAACAAAGTGTCACAAATTCGAGATTTCGGCGTGCACGCACGTGAGAACGCGTTACAAACTAGCTTTGTTATTCCGATATTACATCCAATGCCGATCAGTGCAGCTCGCTCACCTATCTCCGGCGGGACGCCCGACTTTCCGTCGCCCGGAAATGCCGTGAAGACATCGTCTTCCGGGTCAAAGGTCGCAGAGTCGACGAGCCCCGTCATCCACGTTGGAGAGCCGTCGCTTGTGTCGTCGCTGCCGCCATCACAGTCTATGTTATCACCGTTGATGAGAGCCGGCGGGGGCGCGCGGGCGCCGAGACACCCCAGCTCCTCCAGCTCCCTCTTCGCGATCTCGTCGAGGAACAGCTTTGTCGTCGTCGTCACCGGCGCCCCCTCCTCACTGTTAATGTTTGCGTTGTCGTGGCCATTCCCCAGCACCGCCGCCGCCGCCGCCGCCGCCGCTGCCACGTCCTCGACCTCCGACCCCTCCGGGACGACCTGTGAGGTCGTGAGGTCGAGGGAGCTGCTGCACGAGCCGTCGCCCAGTATGTGCGCGTTGACCGTGTCCGTGTCGCGGCTGTACTTGAAGACGATGTTGCCGCCGCCGCTGCTGCCGCCGGCATCGGTGGCGCCCCCGTCGTCACGCTGCGGCGCCCGCTTCGCGATCAGCGGGTGAAGGTTCTCCATGACGCGATTCACAATAAAACGGCTCTTCGTCGCCAGCGTGTTCGACGACGCCGACGCCCCCTGGGACGATGACGACGACGATGACGACAACCCCCCCTCGCGGCCGGCGCCTCCTCGCACTGCCGCGGCGAGCGAGTTGGCCGAGTGTTTGAGGATGCCATGCGGGAACGTCATCGTGTGAGTGTTCACAGGTTGGCGTGACGAGCAGGTGCCGGTCGCCGCGGCGACGGGAGAAGCCGACGCGGTCAGAGACATCAGCCGATCGGCGAGGGTCGTCGTCACGGTGACGCCCTCACAGCTTCCCGCCGCTGCCGCAGCAACACCTGTATCCCCACGGCTTTCCGTCGTCGCCATGGCGACGCCCTCGGCCCCGCAGCTTCCCGCCGTTGCTGTAGCGACGTCCGCGTCCCCAAGCGACGTCGGCGACGGCGAGGGAAGGGAGGCTGCGGAATCGGGCGTGTCGGGGATCGGCGGGGGTCGCACGAACGCGGGCGGGGTCGACCCCGCAGAGTGGGTCAGCGGCGAGACACCGAAAACCTCCGTCGGTGACGGCGTCGCGCTTTCCTCCCTGCCGCACGGCTGCGGCGCGCGTAGCCCGCCTGTGGCGCCCCCTACCCCACCGCCACCGGCACTGCAGTCCGGGAAGAATGGCGAGCCGGTGAGTTCGAGGTCTCGCGAGGCGCCCCCTGCATCGTCGACGGTGTCGTCGGCGGCGGCGAGGGCGAGGGAGGATGGCGGGAGAAGTATCGCGGGCTCGTCCGCGATCGACTCGAGGACCGGGGAGCGCGAGCTGAGACCGGGCGCCCGCGGCACGTGCAGCAGGTCCAACTGCAGTCCCAGCGGACTGAGCGGCCCCTCCTCCTCCTCCTCCTCCCTCTCCTCCCCCTCCTCCTCCCCTGCCTCCTCCTCCTCTTGCTGCTGCGGGGGGTGGAGGGCGGCAGTGGTCCTGCGATGCTCCTCTAGCTTGGAGTTGCGCTGGCAGTAGGTGGCGATGACATCCTGCAGCTGATGATGCTGCTCTGCATAGTCCTTCATCTACGAGGGAGGAAGGAGGAGGAAGAGAAGGTGGAGGAGAGAGAGCAAAGATCGAGATTAGATCGATTTACGATTCATTTAGCATACGTCGATGTAAGTGGATACATACCTTTACGATGGCGAGTATAGCTTAGGCGCAAGAGGGGGGGGGGAGGGTTAACACATTAACATGTTTTTGAGCCACCTCCCCGATTTAGATATTATATAGTATATAGTATATAGTATATAGTATATAGTATATAGTATATAATATATAGGTTATGGTGTAGTGTATATAGTGTATATTAGCTACAATATATATAGTATATAGTATATAGAGAAATGGAGAGCACACATTACGTCAACATAATATCGCCGTAACTATGGCGCCACACTAATAATACTTTGTACATGGTCCTCATCAGACAACGACATTAGTGGACTGTTCTTGCCATGATACCATGACTAATGATTGACAAGTGACACATGATACCACACAGATGGCAAGCTGATAGCTGCAGTAGTTTATAGAAATCGTACTTTATACACTGCATTGAGTCCACATTTTAGAACTGGACGCACTATCAAGATGCCGGGGAGAGGGAGAGGTGCAGCACTATGACAGCATTCCATAATCCATGTTGTTTTTACTGATTCGTCTACGCTACATCTACTGCTTCCATGACTAACATTACGACACAGGATTTTTAGGCGGTACCTCAGGGCAGAATTACTTAGCTTAAAGGGATATTCCTTTGAACTTTCAAGCAGCAAACATAAAATCAAGGCAAAAATGAATTATTTTAACATTGCACGCTTGTACTTGCCTATATATGTGTGATAGATGAAAAAAATTGCTCAGGAATACGTTCATTCAAAGCTTTTAGACTACAAAGTGAAACATTCAAGTCGAATGTTTCAAACGCATTTACTGTTGCCGCTATGCGGCGATTGGGCCGCTCCGCACACTTGCCGTGTTATGTATGTATGAACCATGCTATGTAAAATTATACATTGGCATGTTATGACCCAATGGTTTTTCTGGTCACATACATGGCTATAGCTGATACGGAAAGGGCAACGTATTATTGCTGGGAGATTATAGTATTCTGAGCGAGCAAGCGAGCGAGCGAGTCGAGAGTCCTGTCAGGTTTTGTTGGATTTTTAGCACGTTCTATATCGAAAACAGTTACGGTAAAAATTCTGAAATTAATAACATAAACAGTCGAGGTGCCTCTCTGTCTAGACTACAAAGTTTGATTTCATAACATGATTTATATTAAAAGTTATGGTATCTTAAAGTGACTACATTGACTGGATTGAAATTATGGTTGCTCAAATATAAACAATATGGCGCCTACGGAACTGCGGCGAAAAGCGTTTTTCGAGTCGTTTCTTCGATGAGCAAATATAGGCTTGATACATATTTTGACAGTTTTATTTTCAAAGCTAACGTTCAGTTAAAGTGTATAGTGAGGTATTTACTGACGTTTTTACAGTGGTTTGTTACACAAATTTACGTAGAAAGTTCGAGGAAAGCTACCTTTAAATTTTAGATGCACTCGGGCACAAGTGCACCTGTTAATTTCGAACCCTGACCTAACCGATATTGACACATGAGACAGACAGATATGGCAATGCAACAAGACAAGACGCGGTGCGTAACAGCTGCTTCATTGTAATTGTCAGAC